AGAATCCAAATGGATCTTTAAGAGAAAAATGAAACCTGATAGTTCCATTGATAAATACAAGGTCAGGCTTGTAATCAAAGGGTATAAACAACGAGAAGGTTTAGATTACTTTGATATGTATTCTCCCGTGACGAGAATAATTTCCATAAGAATGATACTTGCTATCGCAGCCTTAAGGAATTTGGAAATACATCAAATGGATGTTAAAACAGCTTTCTTAAATGGAGATTTAGATGAAGAAATCTATATGGAACAACCTAAGGGTATCCGAGCTCCAAGTACAGAAAATAAAGTTTGTAAAATAGTAAAGTCTTTGTATAGTCTAAAGCAAGCGCCTAAGAAGTGGCATGAAAATTTTGACCATGCAATGATTACTAGTAGATTCAAGATCAATGAGTGTGACAAATGCGTGTATGTCAAGGAGACAGAAAACGATTATGTCATTTTATGTCTATATGTAGACGATATACTCATTGTTGGTAGTTGTGACAACTTGGTCAAATCTACTGAACATGTTGAATTCTAAATTTGACATAAAAGATATGGGTCTAGCTGATGTGAATTTAGGTGTTAAAATCATAAGGACAACAGATGGTCTAGTTTTGAGTCAAGCTCGTTACAGAGACAAAATTCTTGATAAGTTTAACAAGAATGATTCTAGAGTCGCGAAGATACCATTAGATAACAGTGTCCATTTATCCAAGAATCGTGGGCAGAGTATATCTCAGGTGGAATACTCTCGGATTGTAGGAAGTTAGATGTATCTAATGAGTTGTACTAGACCAGATATTACTTATGTGGTAAGCAAGTTGAGTTCATACACGAGTAATCGAGAGGCAGTTGAGAGATTGACCAAAATAATGGGTGTAAAGCCTATGAAGAGATAAAAGTCTTAAAAAGAAAAACCCAACCTAGTTGACTGGAGATCCCAAGATCTAAGTTCAAAGGGACAACCTAATCATAAGACTTAGTATGATTACTGTGGGGAATCCTCAACTCATTCCTGTCATCAAACAATGAAATGATGGAAAGGATAGCAAAGGGTTGCTTTAATGACACTTAAGTGAGTAATATAATTTACTCTAAACTTAAGAAGTCACCTATGTTAGAGAGAAGTGAGGCCGCTTTAAAAGAGAACTGTTAAGGCTCAGTTTTTTAGAAACTCTCGCAGAACCAGGACGTGTCCATGACCAAAATGGACAAAATCATGAGAACAGAACTAAATAGAAATGGTTTCTGTGTACAGTATGTGGGTTTCTTTACACAATACAGCTGGACAGTTCAAGGATATCGCGTCTACTGGACAGCTAGTAAACCAAGTATACTTTACAAGGAGGAAGTTCAAAAGGTAACACCTACTTTCTCTATGCAGGGATCAGCTGGTGAACACCATCTTTATCGAGTCAAACCAATGTCTCATTCATGTGGGGGATTGTTGGAAATGAGTTATTAATTTGAATGAGAATTGTTTTCTCATAGACTGGAAATTTGAGTTTATGCTATCGATTTAGCTTAACTCGTGTGTGTGCCCAACGTGCGGACACAAATACTGGACCGAAATCTCGCGGGGCTGATCAACCCACGTTTTGTTCAGGTTCGGATGAATTTTTCAGCCAAATATTAAGGTGGAGATTAATGTTCATTTATTTCAGTTAGAAGGAAAACTGAAAGGTAACTGAAAGGTTGCAATTAAATTGCAATATTCATTGGTGTTGAATGAGCAAATGGATGGTAGAATGAATTCTTGTGACTCTTCAATTGTCAAAACCGTTTTGGAGGTTTATGTGCTAAGAGTTCATTGCATTAAAGTGATAAAACTGTTATGAGGTTTGCTGCTATTTGAAAAGTTTTCTCTAGCCTATAAATAGGCCCTCATTTTTCAAAATTCTACACACCTTTCCTCCTCCTCTCTTCTAGCTTTTCTTTCAAAGTCTTTTTCCTCTTCTTGTTTTGGTGTTCATCAGTTTGTTCTAAGTTCACGTTCGTTTGTAGAGTTGCTTTGTGCTAAGTAATCTCTACGTTTCCGTTGTATCTTGGGAAACAGATGCTCACGAATCCTCTAGCATCTTAGGAGGGACAAATCTGTTTTAAGCAAATCGTGTTTTCACGAGTTTCGGATTTCCTATTATCCAAATTCATCTATAGCCTTTGCGAATACTTGGCTCATTTCGACCAACAAATATTTCACAATAATTATGAGAACAAAACGAATTTAAAAATATATTTTTAAAATTTTTTCGTCCATTAAAAATGCATACTAGATGAAACTTAGGACAAATTAAAATCTCTTATATTAAGGACCGAAGGGAGTAACTTATAAAGGAAAAAGTAAACAATTGAAGGCAAATATTTTGTATGATACAAAACAGAACTTGCAAAATCTAATACAAAATAAGAGTTTTTTGCTCATGATGATTCGTGTGAAATTATAGGATACATGGACAAGCAATTGAATTTGCAACGAAAGTTCTTGAATTTGATCTGGCATCTGATTGCTTCCTGGTGCAAAATCATGTTTGGTTACGAAATTCCATTGACAAACGATTGAAAAAACTGAAACCTATAAAAGTTAAAAAGCTGTAGAAGAAAAATTCACCAAACGAGTTGTAATTTTTAATTTGATCGATGCCACAACTGAATAATCTGAGACTATTAATTAGAACTTTGCTTGAAGAATTTTTATTTTTTTGAAATGGTGCTTGAAGAAATTTGAAGTGTTGAGAAAATTATACTAGGTAATGGAAAAGAGAATATTTTACTTCAACCATAATAACTTAGGGGAGATAAACATGTAATAAATTTATTAAAATATTGTATTTCAGCAAAACCGGTATTTTAGGGAAAAATTGCTCTCAACATAATAAAATCGCTCTCAATTTATCAATGTCCTTCTTCCAAACCCCTTTTTTAACTTTTAACAATTAAAATTGCCTGTTAATCTAAGAATACTGATATATGTAAAAAAAAGTTTAAGAAAATTTTACCAGAAATAAATCATAATCGTGCATACATACAACCTCATACAACAATAACAATATACCCAATATATTCCCAATTCAGTTGGGGTCCTGGGATCAAGATACACATCACTTCATATTTGGTTTTAAATTCTGCCTTATTTTTGTTAGCACCGGTTTGATCACCTAAGTAATCATTGAATGTTGAATAAAATTAATATAATTTTAGTTCTTTGTTCCTATGGCTGTTACCGGTTTTTCTTTTCTTTTCTGCTTTTTATTTGGATTGATAGTTTTCTTTGCAGATGAAAAGAAACTAACTCTTTGACCGATATACTTGAGTTAGAAACTTTATGTTAGGACAAAGAATTTCCCCACGTAAGAGACTTGTTATCTGTTTATAAATTTTTCAAAAATCTTACATCTCATTTTTAATCGGTTTTGAGATGGGAATTTATGTGACTTTTAGACTTTATGTTAAATATACACGACAATATATAGTTTAGTTACATGTAATTAATATCCATCGGTCCTAAAATAGAAAGAAAGAAATTAAGAAAGAAACAAAGAGTAGTGTACGTTCGACCCAAAGTTTTCATTTCCATATGGTTCATCATCGAGCCAACTAAATAGATGATGTCATGATGATGATGATGATGATGATGATAGGTTTGGATTTGAGGGGATAGAGATCAGAGTGCCATTATTCTGGATAGATTTATATTTCTTATTGTTTAAGATGTAGTGCCCACTAAATATTTGGATTTCTTGATTTCTTTTTTGTCAATCAATCTTTGACAGTATTATCAACATTAAGTTTATTCAAAACTCAACTTGAGTAATTTTACTCATAACTACTGTCACGACCTACACTTTTTTAATAATAAATAATAAAAAAGGAAGTAAAAAATTGTTATATGAAATCAAATGGGTCTCTACCTACTCCAAGAGAGGCTTTCCTGAAAAAGCAGACTGTTTTGCAATTAATTTACGCACGATAAGCAGAAACAGACAGATCTAGAGTTGTTAGGGTTATAAATCAATTTATTAGGTTGTTCAGATTCTATTATTGATATTAAAAACTGTTCAATTGCAAAGCCGACGGACACAACAGAGTCTGGAAATTAATTTGTACTAAAAATAAAAATCGAAACTCGACAATAATTTTGAAACAGTAAGACTAGAGTATTAGAAATACCCCTAGAGCTAGCTACACTTTATTCCCTATAAATCCAGGCCATATTTGATCAACATCTACCCATTCCTAATATAGGAACTACTCTTTAGTTACTTACTACTCTCTCTTCAAAAGGCTTAAAATCGCCAACAAATCAATCATGAGATCATCATCTCTTTTTCTGGTTCTAATTTTGTTACTTGCATTTGGTAACTAATACATGCACTTCTTTGCCCCTCCTCTTTAACCTCTTGATCATAATGAAGCACGATTTTATATTTTTAATTTTTTTTTCTTTAATGCGCAGGTTTAGCTATGATTCCAAAACCCGGCGAGGCACGGGTCGGAATGGTAGGACCACCCGGCGTGGAAACAAGAAGAATGATGATACCGGGCGCCGAGACCGCCCCGGGGGAATGCACGGCTGCCGTCGACTGCAAGAGTTCCCGTCATATGACCAAAGCATGTGTGGATGGTCTCTGCGTGTATTCTTGAATCTTGTTGATCAACATGCTGCGTTCGTAAAAATAGCTCGTGTTGTAATCTTAAATTGTACTATTATTTTTAGTACAATTTAAGATTTATAATATGGATTGTTTTTACGGGACGAGAGATACAGTATTACTTACTTCTCATGGATAATAATCTGAAGTTGTGGTTTGTGTCATGTAACGTGTGCTCAGCTTTACATTTACGTTGTTTGTTGCCTTTTGTTTACTCTTTACTGCTTTCATCCTAGTTGGATGGAAACGCACTATGATTGGCTTGATGTAATCGTTTCAATTATAAATCAAAGTTTATGTTTGTGTGTGTTACACTGTTACCGTTCGTTTCTATTTTTAAGACACAAATTAATAAAATTAAAATTGACACTTAATAATAGTTGATGATGATTAGACACACCAATGTGGCGATAGAAAAATGAATTTGTCTCTCTACGGGCCCTCTATCATCAATACATATATGTATCCAACAAGGAAAAAAATGAGCACAGAACAAAAGAATGATTTCACAATTATCTGCTATACACTGCAAAGCAAGAACAGCACATATTTCAGTTGGAATCCCTAATCCATTTCCGCGAGGGATCAACTCTGAATCTCTCAATGTATGTCAACAGTTATCATCAGCAGTACACATCTGCATATTTGACTAATTTTTACCGGCTTCCTCATGAAAACACTTGCAAGCCAGATTACTTGCACAAAGCACTGAGTCCTTGGTGTTGATCCCCCACAAAATCTCAGAATTAAAGCAAGAAGCAGATGTCGGGAACACAATAGGTATCACGAAAGCAACTACAGCCGGTACAAATAAGAATGGTTTCAGTGGTCATGTAACAGACTGTATAATGCAGCCCCATGCTTTCGAAGGAAACCCAATTCCATGAACTGCTCCATGAAACTCATTTAAATCTTTGAGCGCTTGAATTCATACCAGATATCGTAGTGGTTAAAAAGTAAACTATCATGAGTGTGCTTTCCAACGTATGCAAGTCCCAACCCGTGCAACTTTTTCGTACATGCTTCTCCTCCAAGTCTTGAACAAAACTTAATATTATGTGACACGAAAATTCGACCTTTTATAGGCTTCAGTCTCTTCACTAACCTCTCTAATCCTACCCAAACAAGTTTATCAGGTATATGAAGGAAAACTGCATTTGAATAGATTAAATCATACATCCCTTCATTTCCAAATTTAGCGAATTCCATGTCTTGACCTCTTATAATCAGAGGACGCTTGTGCAGCAGACCTTGAGAAGGAAGCTCATACCTAAATGCAGCCATTAATGAGAGCTCATCCTTCTCTAAGCAATGATAATGTTCAGGATTCAAGTAGCGGATGAAGTGCAAGCCAACACGCAGGGTCCCACATCCAATCTCAAGAACACGAGAATCAGGGGTAAGACGAGTAGACTCTGCTAGGAAATCAAAACTATCTCGGCCCCCAGCCCAAGGCTCCCCATAGTAGCTGTGGTGTTGTTCAACTAGGAGCTCACCTGGACATGGAAAAGCAGTGTGATTTTCTGCTTCTTCTCCTTCATAATGGGATACGCCCTTGAATCTAGTTGTGGGAAACAGTAAATTAGTCACTTGTAAAAACCCTAACAACAATATTAAACAGCCAACTACAAGGAAAGACTTTCCAGCCTTTCACAAACATGCAGAATCAGCAAACAGCCTTCCATGAATAACTGAATGGACAATTAAAGCTGAAGAAAGCACCAAACAATAAGAAACAAGAGCTCCAATCTACCTCACCATGAGTGAACATAGGAACAGCAAGGGTGTAATATTCTTTGATCGATAGAATTCATTCTATTTGTTCGTTTCAAAAACATGTCTTTGGCCGTAACTATTTTCAACAACCTATCCCTACTCATAGAATCATAGATATATGAACAGTCTGCAGACTTTATCTCCACAAGGGGCACTAGAAGAAATGATTTTGCAATGGGCAATGAAAAGGTGAGGTTGTCTGAGAAAGTGTCCTTCTTAAAGTGTTGTGTCTATGCACATTCTATAAAAATTTGAGTGGTGTATTCCAGAAAGAAATATAACCACTTGTACTTAAATAGCTTTCATACAAACAATTTTAGCCCAAAGGGATATTACAAAACTAGGATGAACAAACAAAAAAAACTGAACTAGAGACAGACCAGCTTATTCATAGACTTTTGGGCACCATTTTAGACTACAATCCCCTCAAGTTCAAATCACTTTCCCTTGGGATAAAATCAGCATATCCTCCTGTCAGTTAAATCCCCAGAAGAGAGAAACAATGGGACAAATGATAGATTTACTTCAAGCTTTCATACTAAGATCCAAAGCCTAATTTGATGAGCTATCATAGTTTAGAGCATAGCAGCAAATGCAAACTTTATTAGCAGACAAAACTTCAAATTTTGAGTCTTCGGTTTCTTTAATGAGTAACAGTTTGGCACTAGTCTTTCCAATATCAACTCCCAAAGCAGAAAAAGATCTTCTCACACAGTAGCTTCAAGTTCAATTTCATTTTGCTTGAAGCTGAAAATGGTTCCTAATAAAATTCCCCCAAAAGACAATAGCTGGCTTCTTGACAGGAAACTGATTTTCTCCTCTACAAACCATTTCTTAAGAAAGAGCAGTAACACTTGTACATGAAAGCATAATCCTCTCAAGATTTGTTTATGATAGTCCTGACATTACCTAGTTGAAGTATCATACCAGATATTGACACCTCTTTTCTTTAGAGCAGTTTTAAAAATTTAATGGGTTCACATATTCGATTAGGAAATTCTATTGCAGACCCCAAAACAGATGCAATCATTGAATTTACACCCACTAATATACTTGTACAAATTACTATATACATAAAGTTATTAGCACATTGCATAACCAGAGAAGCAAATCCAAATCCTACGAAATCATCCTAACGTGGAAAAAGGCAGACTTCATAAAGCAGGCAGATTTCAAATTCAGTTAAGCAATGTGGCAGCTAAGAAAAAACCCATTAACGAGCACAAAAGCGGTGGAGAAAAAAAGGGGTACATACTGAAGGAGATCTTGTAGCTGTTGTTCACGGGTTCGAGGATTAATCCCTTTACGAAGAACATTCTCAGCCATATGAAGTCCATTAGCTTCGATCTGATTCCTCACCCACTCGATATCATCCTTTGAGGCAGAGATCCGCTGTGAAGTAGACGACCCAGTTGATTTAGCTGTAGCCCGAGTGGAGGGAGTGGTCGGAGTGGTGGTGTCAGGAGGAGGGATGGTGGGGCAGGAGCAAGGAGTTGGAAGGGAGGAAGAAGGGGAGGAAACGAACAAGTAAAGGAAGATGGCGGCGGCGGCGGCGGCGAGAACTAACACCGGGACAGGGACGACTACTCCCTTCGTTGATGACAGAGCCATCATCGAGTGGCTTTAGGCTCTGTCTTCCCCCCAGAAGAAATCTCCAAGAGCAAATTTGGTGATCAATATTGGGGCAAATCCAAATGGTTATCGAAAGGCAAAAACTTTAGATCTGGAAGATAACATCTGAATCTGCAGAATCGAGTGATTTGATAGTGTAAGTGTGTGTTATTGTGTGATCATGAAAATGGTCACATGGTGCAGTTGGAAAAATTAATGTTTTTATTTTATTTTATCTCAAAAAATGTTTTATTGCCTGAAAACATAGTAACAAAAGCAATCATTGTTTTGTTTAATGAAAAAAATGAAAAAGTTTAGCACTCTTCTTTGAGTTATTGTGGGAAATTTTCCCATTGAGGGGTTGCAAATATTTCTGAAAATTCCAATTTGGTGAAAAGATACATAATCACAGAAAGTAATCACAGTTGAATAGTTTTTTCCCTAAATAATGTACTCTACTCGCGGCCTTCAAAAATATACACTCTACTTGAAGTTGTAATTTTTTGGGTGAAAGAAATAAAATTTTACTCACATTTGTCTAGAATTTTTTACCCAAATAATTTTCAATGCAGGGACCTAGACAAAAATGTATGTCCCGGAGTGGTGTGGATAAATCTAGTTGTCTCGAATTTGCCAAATCCGAATCTAGTACAAAATGAATAGATTCGGATTTGACAAATCCAAGACAACTAGTTTTGTCCATCAAAAATAGAAAAAAATTATTTTTGTCCACATCTTTTTTTTGGAAATTTTTTTGGCCGAAACACCCCATTTGTATATCATGTTATTTTGAATTATTTTTAAATTTGGTTCCAAACTCTTCGCTTCTCAAATCGTGTGTATTTCTTGCCATCGATATAACGTGACATACGGCTAAATTCAAAATTATCACATCCACCGTGGTGTTTACAACAACTGTTCTAGTGTTCAAAAGACTTGTGCAAACAGCAAAATTGCTTTCCGAATAATCCATGTTTGTCTTGAATAATGAAGATCTTTTGCCATGAATTGTTGCAGAACTGCATGTTTGGGTTGATATGCTTGGTGATTGAGTTTCTGAAGTTGTAAGGTTGAAACAAAAAGTTGTATTTTGGGGACTTTTGAGGGTTCTGACTTACAGGTTTGTTTCAACTCTCAATTTTCATAATCATGTCAAATGATCTTGCTTAAACAACTTCGATGCCTTTAAAGTCACCATCAATATACCAAGTATATTTCTAACTAAACCCTCTTAATTTAAGAAAAATTAGAGAACAAAAATTGGAAAACACTGTGAAACAATGAATCAGATAGTACAAGAAAAGGCACTTTTTGAGACAGTCTCAATTGTTGAGTTTGCAGCACATTTAGAAATCCGCAACAAGGCTGGTGCCATCAGCCTTTCACCATCACAAGCAAAGAATTTAGAATCTTGCAGGAATATTGCTTGAGTTTGCAAAAGCTGAAACCACAAAAGGGTCCTATTCAATTCAGAACTGAGTAAGAAAAGGAAGTGCTCAAAAGTTAACTTGTACAGGAAGAAAACTTTGCCAGCAGAGTATACTTCAGCAAAAGACTAAAGAGAGGGTTCCAGAATCCAGACAGAAATTTATGATCTGTATTTGCAATGTCTAATGGCAATGGGTTCTGGCTTCGAGCATTATGTTTGAAATGTACAAAGATGTATTGGGAAATATGGGTCAAGGTCTCAAAACAAACATGACTTTACTAATCTCTTTTGAGCAACTACACTAGATATCAGCTGTAAGATTGGTTATCAACCCATTTAGGACTTCTAAAGGGTTATTAATTTTGAATCTGCTTTTGGTTTTTGCATTGAAATGTGAATGGTTACATTAACAGTGTAAAAGATATATCAAAATACAACACCAAAACAAATAGAAACTGACCTTATTTAGCCAAATAAATGATAATGCTAACCATTAAGCTTCACCAAAAATGTACTAGTCTGATCATGTTTTTTACATAGTGTGTAGATTACAAAGTACATGCACAGCAGCAACTTCACGGTCAAAAACCAACAGCAATCCAAAGGTAAACAACAATCCATGTCAGATCATGGTGAAAACACTCCACTGGTTCCCTCAAGCTATAAACATACACATCTTAATACAAACCTAATACAACTCCTTTCTGAAAATTCGGAGGGGAAAAAAAAGGAAAAAAAGGAAAGAAGACGAGATATCTTCAATCAAGGTAAATAATTCACATACCAAATGTCTGTGTTAAGGTTAACCGGAGAAAGAAGCGAAGATGGACCATTTAGGTGATGGTATACTTATGCAGTTAAAGCACGTCAGACATCCTTCTTCTATGGTTAAAAACAGTGGGTCTCAAGTTGGATTTTGGAGTAACTGTTCTGCCTGGAGTCAATGAATTTGAGTGTAGAACATCACATTTAGCATCCCCCGTCAGAGTACATTCTGATTCTCCATATCGAGGCTTTTTATTTGAACTCCGCAGGATCCCTTTAAATCGAGGATCTGAATAGCTATTGGACTGAGAACCTGAAATGTGGATTGAACTTTTGGTCTCTGATCTGAAACTTCTTACTCTGCTAGTAACTTGTCTTTCTGCAACACTCTTTCTTTGACGACTGGCCACAGTGGAATTCATGAACCGAGGTAACGAAGTTCCATCATTTTTCACAACAGCTCTTTCAGAAGCTTTAGGCGTTTCAAGCGCTTCAACAATAGATTCTTTGGGACTTGCAGGATTCTTCACTTCCTCTTCCTGATTTTGACTAGAAGTTGAAGAAATTTTTTTATATTCAGCTAGCAGAAACTCGATCTTTCTGATCTGTTTTTGAAGTTTTTCACACTCTTCTTCAGCTTCCTTCATCTCATCTTCAAGTTCAGCAATTTTTTTCTCCTTTTGCTTCTTCAAGTCCTAAAGTAATAGGGATGTTTATCATCTGTTATGTGGTTAAAGGTGAAACAAATATATCTGTATGAAGACATTTTAGCACGTACTTCTGAAAGTTCTCGAGTGAATTCCACAGCTCTTGCTCTCTTGGCAAAAGACACAGAACAAGTTGTTTCTCCAACATCTTCTTCATATGGACTTACATGGACAAACATCATGACTTTTGATCCATCACCTAATGAATATGAATATATTAGAACTTGCAGTTCTTAAAGTATACGCCAAATTTTGAAACTATACGACACACAATCAGTTTCCAACTGTTGCTACCCTGTCATTGTGGAACCCTATGAATGCATATTTCCTTTACTATGCAGCCTACAACTTTTCTCAGAAGTTTAGTGACATGCCTCGAAGAGTATTTTTGGATATAAGAAAAAGCATCTTACCTAATGAGTCCCTCAGGATTTGTGTTAACTTGCTGTTTCTGCACAAGTATTAGGATTTTTGTTAGCTACACAAACTCAGATAAGGAAATATGTGGTATACTACAATACATGTGAGAGATCCACAGGCTGGACTTTTGGTAGTAATCTTTTGATCATTGATTAGTATGATAAGGAGAGAGATGGAAATAGAGGTATATACCTGTATGGTACATGGTTTTTCTTTCTTCTAAGAGCTGCAATAACATCTCCCAGAGCTGAAAGAGAGAGATTTATAGCCCGCCCTTCATCCATTGTTTGTCCCGTGGCTCCTGTTTTAAGTAATCGCTCACTACCACCAAGATCAACCATCCACACTTTGCTTACTTCTGATTTGGCTCCTGGAGTATCTCCAAGGCGGTGTATGGTGATCCTCGTCAAACTAAACAACCAAAACTAAAAGGATAACGTTATAATCAGGTTATAGTGATTTAATAAAAAGCAATGTATTTCTCCACAAACAGCAAACGCACCAATGCGATCTGCTTGAAGCCTCATTAACACTAGTCCACGATGTAGATCTAACACGTCGTCCTTTGGTATACCACCAAGTTGCTTTCGTCAAATTTGAGACTTGTACTTCTGTGAGGCCTTCAATCTCAACCGAGCCTTTTGAATCTATTTGGATAGTTGGATTGCTGTAGTAAAGTTTGCCAGTATCCAAAAGATTTTAAACATGCAATCTGATAATACATTGCCATTAAAAAGTGTGAAATGTTGGAATAGTTACCATCTTGATATACCATATGATCTCTGCTGTTTAGGAGCAAGCAAATCTCTTAGACTACCTAAATAAACTTCCACCATGCTAATGGAGAACGTAAATGAAGCAGCAGTTTCGGAAGATGCCTGGCTGAATAGTGTGCTTAAAACTCGAGGAATGATACCAGGTGACTCATTTGTTCCATCCTAATTGCAAGTGAATGCAATCAACATAATCATCCACCCTTAGAAAACTATAATTAATCAATAATCTTCATTCAGGTAACAAAAAACCTTACCATTGTATAAGTCTTGCCAGTACCAGTTTGTCCATAAGCAATTATACACACATTGTGTCCATCCAGCGCAGATCTGAGAATTGGCTCAACCTCAGCAAACACATCTTCTGCTCATTCATTACATTACAAGCTTTCAGTAAAAGTTAAGGAAAACAGGACAACCAATATAGGAGGAATAATAATGAGAGGAAAGACAATGTACCTTGGCTTGATTCCTGAGGAAAGACCTGATCGAATCCGAATTCTTTCCTAGTTCCACCATATCTAATTACAACTTTCTCTTGATCAATGGAAAGGGGCTGTTGAATTCTCTTCTTAGCAGTTGATAGAAATGGTCTTACCCGACAGAAAACTCGAATATTACCTATCATTTCACCACATCTCAGCAAAACAGAAAGGAATCTAGGAAATAATGAAAGAAGGGACTGATCAGAAATTGCAGAAACCCATGCACACAGAAGTGTCACCTTTAATGTCCAGTATCTTATTCGATGAAGCTCTTCTCTTTTCATCCTGATATGCCAATTTAGTCTTCAAACTCTCAATTTCTCCTAGAAAGACAAACCAAGCAAGAAGACATTTAGATCAAGCATGTAAAGTCACCCAAAATTCAGATGAGCTATTAACATTTACAGGAACTTCACCTTCTAAATCCTTTAAATTTTGTTCAAGCTGATCCTTCTCCGGCTGAGAAACCGCACCGACATTAGCAGGAGTTTCAGTGATCCCATAATGGGATTCAACCATTCCAGATTCAGGGGAGAGCTCATCAACATTACGGAAATTCGACTCAACAAGAACAGATTTCACAACGTCAGTCGAACCATTGCTATGAAGATGAAAAGGGATCGGTTCTTCCTCAATGGAGACAAACATTTCTCAAAATTCGAGGCAAAAAGACCAGAAAACTCTGATGATCTCTAAAGAAGAAGATGACAGTAAAAATCCAAAATTTCCGAAAAATGGAAAGCCTGTGATCTCTCTCTCTCTCTCTCTCTCTCTCTCTCTCTCTGTTTGCTCAAAGGAAAAACCAAACCAAATAATAATTTCTCAAGAGTACTCTGCCATCAGTTTCAGAAAATGAGTAAAAAAAGCTGAACATGCCCACATGGAGAAACTGAACGATCAGCAGGAAGAAGCAATGTCTTCTTCTCATATAAAGTATGCAAATAAAAAAATGGAGTAAAACAGAAGCTATCCCAGATTTAACCTAACAATAAAAATACAAAATGGACATCAGATCATGAAAGACACATCCCGGATTTAGGCCCCAGCTTAAGGAAACAAATAATAATAATAATATAAAAGATCAAACCAAAAAAGCCAATAATTTTGCGTATGATGGCCAGAAAAGATTAAACAAAAATGGCAGAGGATTTTGTGGGTTTTTTCTTCCTAGCTAGGATTGTGGGTTCCTGTACATGATTTTCATCTTTTTGGTTTTAGTTTTTTGAGGTAAAATGCAATGCAATGATTGATCACTCAATGGTGGAGTGGAACTGTGTGTAACTCTGTTTTCGGAGGTGGGAAAAAAAAAAAAAAAGAAAGCTTTTTTGGACAGTTAGGAGAAGTTACAGTAAACAGTACAGATCGACGAATAAAGAAAGCTATACAGTTAAGATGATGGCATGAGAGACGCAAAGAAAGAATCTTTTTGAGTGTTAAAAGCAGTACTTTGCTTTTAGTTTGCAGATCTAACATCTAAGCCGACGAAAATAAGAAGATAAATTAAACGAATATACAAATAAATTATTTTAAAATTTGCAAGGAGCGTGAGGAGCGGAAGAGACGTGTGAGCATTTTGTGGGTTTTTTGAGAGAATTTTCTCATTGTTTAGTGCTTGTCATTTTCACACACAAGAATTATCTGGTAGTACAATGTTTTTGTCATTAGACTAGGAATTTAATATAAAAAAAAAATGAACCATGACAATCTTGGCCTTTTGTGTATGCGAATCACTGTTAAAATTGTTTTGCCAAAATAGCCTTTCCCTCCTAGTTTGTTGTGTAAAAATCCTAAAGCCAGTTTGCCATTGGGATCAACGAAAGAAAAATCATAATTGGCCCATTAATTTATAACTTTGACTAAGAAATTAAGAAAAAGGATATAAGTGACTAGCAAGTACTAGTAGCTCAGGGAAGTCAAAATCTTTTTGGCTGAAGTCTGGACTTAAATTACACATACAATCTGTTGCCAATAGTCAAAAAGTAGGGTACATAACTCTGCCATACAGTAAAGGCTCTCCAAGAAACAACATATTCTAGTCATCAATAACTTAGTGCCTTCTACCTTTGCCGCGCTTAGTTGAGACTACAGTCCAGCCATCTTCAGCTTCGGCTGATTGAGGTCTAGACTCATTAGTCATTGTTCCAGCTTTATCGGCACTAGAATGGGACTGTGGAACATCTACCGCCATCATTGACGTACCATCCAAATTCCCGTTACCACCATCATCCTCGTAGCTGTCATCATCACTATCGCTACTAGCCTGTATCCAATAGAGGAAGTAGATGACCAGGGGAACTGGATTCAGCATGAAGCGTACAAGGAGAAACCGACGTTTTAAAGTTTATATAGCATATCTTTTTTAAGCAAGTTACATTCATCTGCAGATCTTTGTTAACCAAGTTAAACTAACCTTTGGAATATGGTGGACAGCATTCTTGGGTGGTTCTGCTGTCTTTAGCTTTTGTATTAAACTAAAATCTCCCTCCAAGCATCCTTCATGCATAAGCATCAGGTTTTCAGCTATCTGATGAATGGGAGAGCATTATAAGTTGGATTGAAGAATAATCAGGTGCTAATACAGCAAAAACAAGTGAATTTTTCTTAATTTGTCCTACATAAAGATGGCATTCAGGTTTGTAGCTAGTATCAGCCAGAGAAGATATAGTAACGGTCACCAATTACAACTCTAAATGCAATCTTCCAATCCTTCTGAAGATTGATACTACATAAACAGAGGTCTTGAATTATTCAGTTTAAAAAATTAGAAAGGCCCAAAATGGCAGTAATCAAGATATCAATCTTGTAGCAAAGAACTAAGCATATCTTGAAATTTATAACATCACATGGGGGAAGAGTAACCCAGTAAAACCGATGGTCTTTAAGCCATGGAAATAAACCCATCACTAGAGATATCACAAAATGATCACTAGACTAAGGACGCCAATACAAAACTAGAGACAAATAATCTGCTGCAAATCATCATTCAACAAAGGAGAAATTTTCCCTGGAAATAATCTGCTGCAAAGTGATATACAATTAGAGACTGATAGTCCCTGTGTCCCTCCGTTGCAAAGAGCAAATATCTAGAAATTTTCATATGTTTATTATACAATTGAATAGATCTAGTTTCACAAATCAATTTTTTTGTTACATTTGTCTGTCATAGTGAAGGTTAGAGATGAGAATTTGTAACAAAAAACATGAATAAAAACATAACTACAACATATGTTTATACCGAAGGACAGCAACTTCAATACAACAGTATGAATACGTTCTATAGATGAAAGGACAGCCATGCTGCCCAGTTAAAAAAGAACCAAAGCAGTTATTCATGTAATTTGATTAATGTACGAGATACAACATGTTTCCCAAAGCACACTCACCATTTGCCTGAGTTAATTTAATATTTGTTTGGGTAGATTGACAGCCGTACAACAAAAATCAGGTGAATAACAAAACAAATGCCAGAACAGGACAAGCACGAAACTATGATTTTCTTTATTGAACTGTAAAAAGACTAAAGAACCTGAAAGATGCAACAATCTATCTAATTATATTGATAACATTTGTGGGAGAATGTAATCATTATGTACTGTGACCTAGCAGCACCCATGACCGTAAGAAATGGCCTAAAATGCCTAGCGGCAAAAATAAATGATGAAGGCTTAAAGTTCATTTCAGTCATTGTATTACCATGGCCCCCACTTCAGGAATCAATCGGTATGATAGTGTCCTAATCTCTTCATACTTTCCCAAATTGCTCTTTTACACCAATTGAAGTAGGCCTCAACTAAAAGCAATCACCATTTAACACCAAATTTTAAACAGAGAGGCGCTAGAACTCCAATTTCTTACACTTCTAACATTACGATATCAACAGATTTCGGACCAGATCTGCCAAAACTTATATTTCTTACATAAAGTAACAAATTTCAACATAAAGAGTCTCTCTGGATTTATTATACATATGTTCTGACATTTAGAAGTCTACTTTCTTAAGGAATACTGACACGGGGAGATTGCAGCAAAACCCGTGCCAACTCTGAAACTACAAAATCCCTTGATTCATTAATACTGCCATCTTAGTGAGCAAGTTGATTTTGTTAATGTCATACAAAACCATGACGATGGTCATTTTAATTTTTTTAACAAAAAAATTAATTAAAAAAAATAAAAAAAAAATTAGTAATTTGGTTTCATAAATACAGTAGAAACTCAGAATTCAAAGAATCTAGAGTATTTTTCTTTCCACTGTTTCAATCTTTACATTTTAGATTCTATGAGGTTTACGAATAGTTTAGCATAATTTTGTGTTTGCCACTCCGCAACAGCAACTCATCATGTCCATCAAATGCAAAGAGAACGAATTGTGATACATGACTGAGGAGGCTCAACAGAAAATAATAGAGGAAAATAAGTGATATATTCTTTAGCAACTCTGGTGAAATTTCATACAAAATGAACTCAAAACTTAAAAGAGATATAAAAATCAGAAGAGACCAACCTCCTCTATACTTCCGTCAGAAATCTCAGTGGCAAACTCTTCTTCCATGGCATTATAAAGAAAATCCTCCACATCATCAATGTATACTTTCTCTGAATACCAAATTATCCGAAACAAAGCAATACACGGACGTTATTGATAAAAAAATAAATAAATAATGAAAAGAAAGGGGAAAAAAAGGCTCAAAAATCTCAAAATGAAAAAAACCAACCATCCTTTTATTGTCATTTGTTCATCACAAACTATAAAAAAAAAAAAAATTACCTTTGGATTGTGTCAAGAGGGAGAAAATATCAACGGCAAGTTTCTGAGATTTAACACGGGAATGAGGTCCACCCCACTCATTCAGAACTGCCATTTGAAGGGCCGTCCATCGCGAAAACAGTAAATTAATGCCTTCCTGGAGCAACACCGCTGCCTCCGCTGTCAACGGTGGAGGCGCCGCCGGAGCTACTGCAGCGCTATGGTTGCCGTTGATACTGTTCATATTCACCTAAATTCTCTGACTGTGTGGCTGTGAACTCCCGTTTGAAGCAGATAATCAGCCAGTTTATCACTTGCTAAGCAGATAATCAGCTTATTACCTAAATTCTCCGTAGCTGACAAATAGTCGACGGCGGCCGTGGCGGCGGGGCTCTGTGTTTTTTCCTGCGAAGAGAGGAAGAAGGTTTATGAGCTGATTTTAATTTGGAGGTTTCAACAACTTATTGCAAAATGGCCATCTGGGTTTCGAATTGACCTCCAAAACTCTAAAATACTACGAATCAAGTCCTAATCTTTTTACAATTTCGCAGTTTTAACCTTTCTTCCCTGATTAGTTTTTTTTTTTTTCTCATTAAAAAAAAAATTATGCAGATTTAACATCTCATACTCACTCTGTCCCAAAATTATTGTCCAATTTGTGATTTCGCTTTTAGTAAATTTGAACTAGAAATGAAAACCCAAACTGGACAATAATTATAGGACGGAGGGAGTATTTATTATATTTCGGAGTTATTTGAAAAACTTAATGGCGAAACTTCTATACAATAGACTTCATTTGTTTGTACTTGATAGAACTTATTGAACATTGCATAATGTAAATGACTCTCTTGTCTGACTATGATTGAATTATTTTTTCTAATTATTCAGAAGTATTTTGTACAAATGATGTGCACCTTTCATTAACAACTCGTGAAAAAAAAAGGTTAGCTAAAATAAAAATCCGTTCATGATGATCATGTAAGCCATATAATAACTAATTAATTTTTGTAGTTTTTTTTTTTTGGTAAATAAATAAATGAGCTACTAAGGACAAAAACCCTCAAATAGCTACCCGATTCATTACACACTCCTTCTCCTTATCTATATTAAGGATATGATACCTGGGTTACATCAAAAAAATATATTTCCTGTTAAGACCAATTGCCTATTTAGCTAATAAGTCTGCGCATTCATTATTGTTCTTGGGTGTGCGCACTAAGCGAACGTCCCAGTCTTCAAGTAAAAGTTTTTGGATTCCCCTAAGATTGGGATCCAATTGTGGGCTACCATTCATTTGTGAAATCAGTTGGATCGCAGGAATGGAGTCTAATTTGACAAGAACTTTTGAAAGTCCTTGTTCTATGGCGAGCTTAAGGCTCAACCTGATGGCTGAAAGTTCTGCTGTTTCAATCAAACAGTGCCACAGGTTAATATTGAAAGCTTTTAGAAACTGACTCTTGTCGTCTCGAATAAGTCCTCCTGCTGCAGCTATTCCAGTTTCTTGGCTGACAATACCATCGCAATTTGCTTTCACCCAATTTTCTGGTCGTGGGCGCCAATGAGATACGTTCTTGTTGCTTGTTGATGTTCTTCTCCACCTCAACTTGGTTTGGATGAGATTAACTTCCTCAGCTCGGTGATAGACTTCCCTTAGAGCTACCTCTAGGGCTATATCTTTGTTGTTGAAGACTTTTTCATTCCTCTAATTCCCAATACACCAACAGGCCACACCAAATAAAGTCCTCCAATACTAGTTTTTATTCTTGATATTAGACTGAAGCCAAGATTTCAATGTCTGTTGGAAGAAACCCCTTCTGTAGTTAACTAGAACAAGTGCATTCCATATATGTTGAGCATTTGGGCAGTTTCTTAGAACATGTATCGTAGTCTCGGTCTCTCTGCTGCATATATTGCATGTCGCTGGCCTTCTCACTCCCCTTTTGTGACATAGATCATTCGTCGCTAATTTGCCATGTGTCGCAAGCCAATGGAACGATTTGTATCTTTGGGGTCCTTTCCACCTCCAGATTTCTCTCCAATCCTTGCTCTCCTGCACATCGAAAGATTCAAGAGCTAAGTAATATGCAGACTTAACTGAAAACTTACCTGCTTTTGCAAACAACCACCGAGGTCGATCTGACCCCAGAATTTTTGTAGCCTTTTACTTTAGTAGTATCGGTCCATAAGAATCCATTTTTGAAGGTATACGAATTTGGGGTTGTTTGGTTGAAGGGTTTTGGAATTAGGGTGAAGTGATCCCAGATATTTATGTTTGGTTGTTGGTCTGATTTGAAAGCAATGAATTAATACCCTATTATTTAGGAGTCTTCTAAACTCACCACAGGGTCGGATCTTGAATCGGTTCCTAATTCTTAATTTTTTTAATCTTTCGTAATACTTTATCATGGACCAATTTTTTATCATAATTTTTTTGATAATATATGGAAAATTTTATAATCATTTAAAATTTAAAAGTCAAATTGAATTCAATCTCCATAATTTATGATTTTTATTGAATTTCATTTTTTTCATGTATTAAGTTTAAACTTAACTTAAAAACTATTCAACCTCAAACAAACTCCATCAATCTAGTAAAAGTAATAATATCTATTTTTAAAATTGAGTTAATAGAAATAGTTATTGAAGTTTAGAAAAAAGAATCGATTTTAAAGTTTTACATCTTAAATTCAATAAACTAAATAATAAAAATAAATTTGATACCTAAACCCGTCTGATGTACCAAACAATATTTTCAAAATGATTATGTCGAAATCAAACCTTCCACGTAATCATATTGAACCCCATGGTGAAATCCGGCACTAAACCAAAAGTTATCTAATGGGTTTTACATTAAATATGTCTAATAATGAAATTGACAAATTAAGTTCAAATAGACCCAATGATGGCAAACTTTGTATTATGAGAAAATGACTCAGACACCTAATTATTAGGTAACTTAGTGTGATAATTTACCTATAGACATCTACTTATTTCTTTGTTTGGGTTTTTGTACATAAAAAGGTAAGCAAATAGTTTAAGAAATTTTAAATATATTAAAATATGAAAAAGAAATGATCTCTATAATATAAGGTTTCAATATAATATAATGATCTCTATAATATAAGAAATGATCTCTATAATTTTTAAGAATTTTTTTTTTTAAAAAAAAGTCTTATGTAGCATGAAATGATTGGTTGTCCTAACCCTGTTTCACAGGGGGACTTTTTCCTCATCAATATTGTTCGACATTTTTGACACCTACCGATGATGAAAACCTTGTGCCAAACACCTTATAGTAAATAGATATTTGTGGTTATTTGTAAATAATGTATATAGTGTTTTGGGTGAATGCTTTTTTTTTTTTAGGAAAACTTTTTCTACTGCTATCACTAGTAATTTTCTTTCTAAGACATTTTTAAGGGGGTAGCAGAAGAAAAAGTATCTAAACAAGTGATAGATTTATCCCTTCCCGGGAGCATGTTGGTGTCGTTGTAACCGTTTCAGCTTTAATGAGTTGCCTTGTACTTTTAGTCCCTTTAAACATAGACGTGCAATTTTTACCATCTATTACTTGTGAAGTACAAGGAAATCTCAGCGGAAACAGTACCTAACATGTTGTTTGCCATACAGGTTTCTTAGTGAGCTAAGAATCGTCACGTGACACCCTGTCAAGACCGTTCTAACAAATAGTATTATCTTGTGTTACATCAGGTCATTCTAATTTGAAAATAATATTAAGAAAAAAATTTAAACTAAAATTTATGTTATGACAATGGGAAATTAGGACTTGATATGGCCTTTTTTAAAGAAAAAGAAAAAAGAAAAAAGATAAAGTTATACCCCAATAAACCCCACTTAAATATGGGTAAACCCCCCTTACAAATCTCTCAAAAGAATTGAATCCGAGTCTACTCCCAGAAAGTATAATATCTTAACCACTAAACTGTTATTTAATAGTCTCAATACTTGATAAGGCTTGATATGGCTGAATTAGTTTTTACAGCAAAAAAGTGGTTCGTAATGGTTAAAATGTTGTTATATATATGTTTTGGATCCCATTGGATGGCATTTGAATCCGATTTAGTGACATTTTGATTCTTACCAAAATTGGTTTGTTGTCCAGCAAAACTTGTTCAGTGTTTTTGTTGAACCAACTCAAATATTTAACACATTAGCTAAATTTTGTTTTCTAGTTTTAAATATCTAAAATTGCAAATTTGAATAACTATTTTCTCAAAGTAGTTATACTTTTCCTCTTAGGTTTCCATTTTACATAAATTAGTCATGTGAGTTTTTATTTTTATTTTATTTTTGGAAGATATTTCCAATAGATGATATTTTTTTGAAAAAAGGATTTTGTTCTTTACTGGTTTTGGCCATGATTTCTTTTAATTAGACATAATTCTTTTGTATAACACTTGTATATTATTCAACAACCTCTCAAAAAAAATAATAATAAAAAATGCATATACTTTTTTTCTCATTTGGTTAGGTTGAATGAAAGATATGCAATTTTGAGACTTTGTGGTAGAATCTTGAATTTGACTTTTAGATGCGATTTGATCATCGTAGTTTCCTCTTTCGAGTTAGGCCCTGTTTGATTAAAAATTTAATTGAGGTATGAAATCTGAAATAATTAAGTTTGTATTATTTGATAAAAATTAAAGAGTGAACCTCAAGACGCGTTATTGAACTATTGAGTAATTTTAATACTAGTTATCAATCAAATTTATTTGTATAACATGTCACTATACTAAGCAAAAAATTAATCCGAGATCATTCTGTTAATTTTGGCCGTTAAATAGTGACGAAAATCTATTTTTCACATGCTTTTGGGTTCAGGAGTATTTTTGTCATTTTGTTATTTTTAAATTTTTATCTTTTTGAATAAAATTATTTTTTTATTTTTATTTTTTTACAATTCTTCTTCTTATACTTCCTAACTTGTATATGCTGGTAGTATATTTTCTAAATTTCAAAAACTAATCTAACTTTTTTATTTTAACTTCTAGATTAAATTTTTTTTAAAAAAAATAGAAAAATGAAGAAGAAGAATTCGAGTTGAAATAAACATAAAAATTGATAGTTTATCGTTTTAAACCAAAAAAAGAAACTAAACATTAACTAAGACAAGTTGTTTCTTCTAGTTTATTTAATTATTTTCAACTCCATTTAATCATTTAATTATTAATTAATTTTCACGTTTAATTCAATTTGAATTTCTCTTCTTTATTTTTTTATAAA